TGTTTAATTAAAATTAAATTCTTTATCAAATTAATGCATCCTTGCTGAGTAATTAATTTTTTCTGTGTATATACTGAGTGTGCGCATGTATACACACACACACAAATATATATATATATATATATATATATATATAACACAGAGAATCATGAGATACTGTACCATTAGGTGTGTATGAAGGTACACACACACACACACACACAAACAGAGCAGCTAATCGACTCACGTTGTGTAATTACTTTTGGGTTGCAGTGAAAAGCTGCATTTTTATAATTAAAGTCCAGTGTATCAGCGATGAAACATAATAAACTACTTCTAAAATGGCGGATTACATTGATAAGCCCCAGAAGGCCAGATGTGGGAATCGGGGAGGTTGGGGCTGGATCCGGCAAATCTAGGATGGGATTAATGTAGAAAATCCCACGGGCCGGAACGCTGCCTTTTCCATGAGGATTAGGGTCTTGTGTGGAGTCAACATGCTGTAATCCATCGATTAGCTGATATAATCACCTGTAAATACACCTTGGCCCGCGCACATCCCAGAATACCAACCGCTGCCGTGCACAGAGAGCGAATGAGTTTAAAACAACCCAGAAAGATCTGAAGAACATGCACGAATGTCAAAAAAACTGACTGATAATAAACATAATTCATCTGATGAAACAGTTTGAGAGTAAATACAAGAGGAGGCCATGTACGGTTCAATGTCTGCCACATGTAAATACACAGCCGAGCATCTCATCTTGTGTTTATGGTTCTATAAAACATATTCAGTGTGGTAGACATCTGCTGTATGTAATGCATGATGAATCAAAGCCGCCCAGTCTTTGATTATATACTGTCTACATATAGCCAATGCTCAGCAGATTTAGTAGTTGTAGCTGAATTTAGATCAGTGGAAGTAACTGTTTAGATGGACTGTTTATACAGCCTCATATTAGCTCTTTCTAGATTACACTTTCTAATGTTTGACTGGCTGGCTGCTAGAAAAACATGATAAAGAAATACCCAGTAACATTGAGATGACTGTAGTCATCACTCACTACCCTTAAGAGGCCTTTTTTTAGAGCGACGCACGTTTAGCAAGTTATTATATCTCCCCAAATACTACATATACTGGGAAACTGAGTGAGAAATAATAACTTAAAAGCTAAAGCACCATTAGCTTTCTATTGCAGAGCCAGTTACTATTACTATGAATCGGCTTCACTGTGCTGGAAACTCTTAACTTTGACTCGGTAGTTCCCTCTAGTGCTCATATTGAGGAATTACTTTTGTCTGAAAGTTTTTTAGGGTGCACTAGTAGGACAGGGGTTTTCAGTCTTTTAGATGCCAGATGTACAGACTCAATTTATATAGTGTATAGTGTACAATATTATTTTGATCATGTATTGTTTCTATAACCGCATACATTACATTATCATGTTTGTTAATATGTGTTGTTTATGCATCAGAACTACAACAGAACTACAGGGAAGTTGTGGCCTAATGGTTAGAGAGTCGGACTCATAACCCAAAGGTTATGGGTTCGAGTCTCATACTGGCAGGGATTGTAGGTGGGGGGAGTGAATGTACAGCGCTCTCTCCCACCTTCAATACCACGACTGAGGTGCACTTGAGCAAGGCACCAAACCCCCAACTGCTCCCCGGGCGCCGCAGCAAAAAAAATGGCTGCCCACTGCTCTGGGT